TGATCACAGTTTGTGTTCAAGACCTCACTTGGTTGGATTTCCGGGACAGGAAGTGTGGGTTGTTTAATCACTCAGTAATCTATTTGTTGGGAGGGATTAGTGATGACGAATGCATATTAAGATTCTTATTAAATGTAATACAAAAGCAATTGTACAATTTGTCGTGCTTATGTAATATGTAAATAATATATAGCTGTGCACTGAGCTCCGTCGATATATTTTAGTAGGATTATTTAGATGTCCAATTTTTAGCTTAATGGCAATTTGATCTTCGCTGCTCAAAGGCGAATATTTGTCGATGAGATTTAGTCAATTTAGTTCAAGAAATTAATCTAAAGTTGTCTCTTCCTGTAATGGCGCATTTTTAAATTTCGTGAATATATCTGGGTTTTAATAGCCTCAGCAGAGTGCTGAGAATGACATGGGGTGTGACGACGACATAGTGTGACGTCACGATAACGGATGAAACTCAGCAATGGGATTGGTCAATTTATTCTCTGTAGTGAGTACGCGCATGCGTAAGACAGGGTCGGTAAAATACATTTTAATAACTTTTCTTCTAGAAAGAAAAATGTCACATAATTCGGCTTTGCTGAATAGAACGATAATTATTGTTTGGAGAGATTGCCAGCAATACATATGACGTAAATTGAACCGGCTTGAGTCACACGTGACGTAAGAAGCCACCGTACGTGCGTCAGAATAACACGGCACGAAATGATAGTAAAAGGTATATAATAACCGTACATTCGTTTGAATGAAAATATCAATGAATTACTATAATATGTGCATTAACAAATCAAACCCCCGACCTATGATAGTGTGTCGCAGATCAATATTATTGGTCTTACTTTAAATTGTGTTAATAATTTCATTCATTTCCGCAGGCTTTGCACGACACAGTATTTATCAATATGACAGTTCTCGTCCTTCTGAAAAATCGATTTATTCAACGCCAGTTTCAAACTAGCTATTTTGTTCAAAGTTTTTATTTCTGTTTTTAGCTTTCTGTCTTATAGGATGAGATAACTCAATGTCTGGCCACGCCATATGACGTGGGTCGGCGTGGACGGGTTACACGATCTCTGTACGTAATAAACTCATCCAAACCATGGACGTCCATGTCCAAACGAGGTAGAATCAAATCAGATGGAATGCTCAGAAAAAAATGCACAGAAGTTTTGTAATATAGAATTCTCATTCTATTATTCAGATTTTTTATTTTGTAATTGCTATTTTTTCGTTATTTTGGTTATTTTTGTGCCGTCTATAAGGTGTCCCGTCATGTCGTGTGTGCGTCTTTATAGAAGTGAGACTATCGCGTGAGGGCGCACCACCACAATGACATGTCAAGGGCACTATTCTGTATTTACGGAGACAAAGAAAACAGCAAACACATCGAAGTGAATAGGGTGAATAAAAGTGATGGCGTATCTTTGATCATAACACTTGCGCTGCGCATACAGTGGGAATAATGAGTTCATTAACTTCTTAACAAAATAGTGTAAATAATTGAACGGTACTAGTGCACGATTCTCACGGATTCCATCTCATGCACTTAACTTCCGTGACCCTCAAACAGCTAACACATATCGAACAGACTTGACGTTATACGTCTTGTCACCATCGCTCAAATGCTACATGAAATCCCAGATGCATTTGACGTGGCCTTGAACATCTAGGCTGTAGTGGTAATGCGTGAATGTAATTGACGGTTGATTACATACATTTTTTTTTAAATGCGAGCATGAATTGATGTGAGTGAGATTTTAGCTATGTTTGAAATCTCACGGAAACATGATATTTGACTCAAGTGCGCCCTCTATTTGAGTTGCTTTTCTGATAGTATACTCGTAGTATTTCTCAATAGTGTAAAAGCATTATTTTCGCTCTTTTTTCTATTTGATTATATTTTCTGGGTTAAAAAATTCTCAGTGAAACAAAGCGTCATACTGTTATTGTACATGTTGACGTGGTTTTAATTTAGCACAGTTTACTTATCGGCGAAGACACTGAAATTGAATTGCAGTGAATAAAAAAAATGTGTTTTTAAGAATTAACTTGAATTTATATATGACGTTGAGGGCGCAAGTCTCTTATCTTTGGCATTGTACACCC